GCGTACTCCGGTGCGCGTGTTGCATACCCATTGTCTAAACGTACTGCTGACGCGCATGCTTGCAACTTTAGGCATTTCTTAGGATTGCGTGGATCAGAGCTCACCACCCGAACGTTCATCAAAATGGACGAAGCAGGCGAGCTTGAGCAGGCGGCACATGCCGTAGGCATGGTTCCGGAAACCTCGTTGCCGAACAGGTGGCCCCACAATGCCATCCTCGAGAGAGATGTTCGAGAGGAGAAAGAATGTTGCCGCACTATTCACCTCCAATCTGGCCTTCCCTATGAGTATCACACATATAGCTATCCATATGCTTGCCTTTCAATGTCATTCGACAAGCCTTCAATAGCCGACCCCGACAAAACCCAATGGGAGTCGCTTACTAGGAATAAGTTTGATGGCATGAGGTTATGCTTTGGTCAGTTAGTGTATTACCGTAGGAAGTCACCCACCAAAAGGACTTTGGAGCCCAACATGTCACCTGGTCTATTTTTGGGTTGGAGGATTGATCCCGGTTTCCGATATAGAAATATCTTAAGGGTGTTAGATTACCAAGAGTATCGCACTAGAGGTGGGAATTCAGCCGTTGATGTTCCAGAAGCAGAAATCTTTGTCCCTGAAGGTGATCCTGTTTTTCCAGTAGGTTTTTCACGCCACCAAGCTCTCATCAGGGGGGATAACCCAGATGATCTTAAGTTGCCTGAATATGCCTTAAAGGATGTGCCCTTCCCCAAGGAGGGCGGAATAGCCTCACCCTCTACACCAGGTCTCAAAAGTCGTTCTGTTTATATAACCGTAGACCGTATCCTTAAGTGGAAAGAGACCCCTGGTTGCAAAGGCTGCACTGGCCATTCGCGCGTGCACACTGATGAGTGCAGAGCCCGCTTCGCAATGTTGGTTGAAAAAGAAAAAGAAGCCGAAAAAGAAAAGAAAGCTCCACCACCCACAAGTGAGACAGAAGCAGAAGACAGGGATGATGAAGCACATGGCATCATCTTCCAGGGTGAGGATCTGCCTGATCCCGATCCGATACCATCTCACCTCTCCGCAGAGGACAGAGCATTGGTTGAGGAAATCTTCATAAGAGGTGAGGTACCAGGGTCGTCCGAACCCAGCGCTCCAGCCGAGCCTGCTGTTTCCGTTTCTGGTGTAGCTATTCTCCCACAAGTTGCCAATCGATGTTCCGACCTATGTCAAAAATCGCTGCCTGTTTTTGGTTGCCCCGCTGTAGGTAAGCCAACTAACCGCGATAATCGTAGGAGCCGGAAAGCTGCCAAGAAAGCTTCCAGACCCAATGCCAAGTCAACCATGTTTGAGTTTGCTTGTTCTGAGGACTCCCAGATGGGTTTTACTCACCAAGAATATGGCATTAATCATGTTAGACTTTGTAAGGATAGGATAGACCTGGGAGATGAGTCACAATGTGAGCAACTAGACTATCAGATAGATGAAGCCGCTAAAGTTGCACCTCCACATATGTGGGCCTCTATCCCTTGCACATCCGGATCCCCTTGGCAGTACATCAATAGGAAGAGGGGTGGTGCCGCATTCATTAGGAAGCTTGCCCACCAGGTCAAAGAGTCCAAACGGTTGTTTAAGAGTTTTTCCAAACGCGCTGAAAGGGTTCTCAATCATGGTGGTACTGTAACATTTGAGTGGCCAAGACCTTGCTCTGGCTGGAAAAGGCCTGACGTTGTAGCATTCTTTGAGAAGCATCCCCAGTTTATGACCGTTGATTTTGAAGGGTGTACCGTAGGTTTAACCGACAGAAATGGTTATCCCATCAAAAAGCCATGGAAGCTCAAGACCACTTCTCCCCGAATTGTAGAGGCGTTTCAAGATATGCGGTGTCGATGCCAGCAACCTCATTCCAGATGTGAGGGAGCTGAGACCACTCGCTCCGCAATGTATCCGCCCCAAATGACTAATCTAATTGCGCAAGCTTTGTATCCCGCAAAATGTGCCCAGCAGTCCGTTCCTGCTATGCCTTGCCGACCGGCAACTAGCGAGCCTCAACCCCATAGGGAAATTGAGCAGCACCTTAAGCATGTATCCCCATTAGCTGGTTTTGAAGATTTAGCCCTAGCTGTTGAATCAGACCCCACTGCTAATAGGTTGGTTACAGAACTTCTTGACCATGAACAATTGATCGCCCAAGCCTTCCACCTGGAAGACCCTAAGGCGCCAACGCCTGAGATCAAAGCAATGGTCACTAAGCTCTTATCCCGTGCAGAGATGCTGTCCAATCCCAAGGCCCTAGAGGCAATCCGCGCTGAAGCCGATGGTTTGGTTAAGGCTGGTACTTGGGATCTTGGCTCGGTCCGCGAGAAGGAAGATGTACGCAAAGAAGCTAAGGCTTCGGGTGTGTCAGTGCACTTTGGTCAGCTCATGACCATCGCGTCCATTAAATTCTACGAGCTTGCAGACCACCTTCACAAAATGAAGGGGCGCATTGTGTACAGAGGAGACTGCGCAAAGGACGAACATGGTGCAGCCGCGGTTTACCAAGAACTCGGCGCAAACCCCACCTCCGTCCAAGGGCTAAACGCCTGCTTGGCGTACGGGTCGCTGCCGGGTAACCGCGCGACGGCTGCAGATGCAGTCAAAGCTTACGTCCAAGCACTGTTATCTTCCAAATACAAAACCTGGATTGAGCTTCCCCCGGAGCTCCGCCCTAAGTATTGGAAACAACAGTTTGTTAAGCCCGTAGTCCTCTTAATTAAAGCCTTATACGGTCATCCTGATGCCGGAGGCCTGTGGGAACAACACCTGAAAGTCATCATCAAGAACCTTGGTGGACAGGAAGTTCAAGAATACCCAGGAAACTTTTACTTCCCAGATACAAAGTTACTTCTGTCAACGTATGTAGACGATTTAACTCTAGCTGGCCCCGCCGACCAGCATGATGCATTCTGGAGTAAGTTAACTTCTGTGGTAGACATTGAACCCCCAGAGCCCATCTATAGGATTCTTGGACGCAACCATGTTGTTACCCCACTATCCAAGACCGAAGGTCATGAAAAGTGTGCAGCCTTCCAAGCCCAAGATGGCATGGTTTTTGATATGGCAGACTACGCTCAGCAGACCGTAGATTTGTATAAATCAATAACTGGTGTCACCAAACTCAAGCATGCCGCCACGCCATTTCCACCTGAGGGATCCATCACCATTGAAGATGATGAAACTAAAGGGGAACTAGCTCCAAATGCATGTAAGATTTTGATGAAAGCCCTTTGGTTAGGTAGACTTGCACGTCCCGACATCATCAAGCCTATCAATGATCTGGCCACAAAGGTCCAGTCGTGGTCCAGGGGGGATGATAAGAAGGTCCTAAGATTAATCCAGTATATAGCCTCAACACCACACTACAGGTTAGTAGGTACCATTCAGGACAAGCCTGAAGACCTAGAGCTCAGACTGTTTGTCGATGCCGACTTCGCCGGCGACAGATCAACTGCACGCTCAACCTCCGGTGGCTTTTTGGTTTTAACTGGCCCTAGTTCCTTCTTCCCACTTGCATGGATTAGCAAGCGCCAAACATCCACTTCTAGATCGACCACGGAAAGCGAGGTTGTTAGTTTAGCCCATTCGCTTTATCAAGAAGGCTTGCCTGCCTTACAGTTATGGGAGCTGTTGCTTGCACGCTCCGTAACCCTTAAGGTCCACGAAGATAATCAAGCAACAATCCTAGTTGTGAAGAAAGGATATAGTCCCAAGCTTCGCCATATAACTAGAACACACAAAGTTAATTTGTCTTGCCTGTCTGAAGTCTTCAGAGATGACTCTGCCGAGATAGAGTACACCCACACCGATGACCAGGCGGCAGACATATTCACCAAGGCATTGCCTCCACACAAATGGGCAGCAGCACTAATCCTTCTAGGAATCCGTACTGACCTTCCCTTAGACCTCAAATCCAAAGCCTAGGTCGCTGTGAACGTCCGTTCACGCGACAGTAGCTGCTTAGGATACTGCCAATGCGCAGTGCGTGTGGAACAGGCGAGGGGGGAGTTGAAATATACCGACCCCTGAGCCCCACTATGTATAGCATAGGTAGTAGGTCGTATGTAGGCATGCCGTAGCTATGAGTACCAACGTAGTTCCAAGTAGATACATCCCAATATGTACAGAAATAGCACCACCTGCTTAGACGCGTTAGGTAGGTAGGGTAGCCATGTTTATAGTAGGGATTCCCCTAACCCAACAACCACCGGGTCGGGGTGAAACTTCCGCTGCTTGCGGCATGGCTCAAGTGCTCCGTGCAAAAGGGAGCATTTGGTTGTTGTTTCATGCAGGGTCCGGGGAATTGGGTTCCCTTTTCTTTTGGGGTGTCCGGTTCTTCCCCCTGTTTGACTATGATTATATATTATAATTATAATTCTATCTATACCCTCTGGTTATTTAACAGTCCGCGATGGATTTGCTGAACCATTTATAGATGGTGGATCTTTCCATGGCAAAACGTCTTGGACTTGCTGAGTCGATTTGGAAAATCCCCACGAGTTGGGGAATCTATAGGGAATTAAGCAATTTCAGAAGTGTTGTATGTAGAACACACACACATATATATATATGATTATATATATATGTATATATATATATACATATACATATATATATATACATATATATATAGATAGATAGATAGATACATAGATGTTATATTTATAGAGGATTCGATATTTGGATGGATCAAGACCCATGGAATTACCATATGTTGGGGGGATGAAGATCTATTTACTAGCTATTTTCTGGTACTGCATGGACTCTGAAGCAAAACGACAGCTGCAAACTAGGCGAAGCTATGATGTGAAGATGTTTCTCTTGACGCTTAAAACGCTTAAAACAGCCATCCGCCGATCTCGAATTCTCACCCCGTCTTGGCGCAGAACTTCATCCAATGTGACTAGAATGACTAGAAAACTCACTGGAAAATTCACCCAAGACTGGCCCAAGACTCACCCAAGAAACCAACGAATGTTGCCTTTGCCACCGCCCAGGATTTGGGTGGACTTTGAAGCTGCTCAGGACCCGCAAAACGTTGCAACTGAGAAATCATATGGAAATCGATGGAACAAAAATGAGGTCTGAAAAAGGGGGATACCTCAAATGGTCAAATTTTATAATGGGGAAGTGATCATAAACCATCAAATTTGGAATTTGGAGGTAGCCTATTTTCAGACGAAGCCAGTGGTTTGCAATTTGGTGATTTTTGTTCGCGATATTTGCAGCGGCACTTTCGATGGTTGTTCCATCGGAGATTTCTCCCATTTGTCCAACAAGACTTGACACGTATTGGTTGCAATGCCTTGAACCTACCGTCGACATCCGTCGACAATTTTCCAATCTCTTAAAGAAAGTCGTAAAAGGGGTGATTACAGTAGAAAATCATCATGCACTCCCAAGTACGCCTATGTTCGGGATTTATGTTCTGGAAAATCTCAGAGACTGAAGCCTTACTTGGGGCATTTCCAGTAATAACTGGGTTATATTTTTGAGTTGTAGGGCCCCCATATCCCAACTTTTAGAGCTGATTTGCTCAGGATGCAGTCGATGAAGATGATCCCATGGGCGTCACTTGCCTCAAGAACTGACCATAAACTGGTGGTATAAACATGGTTAATAATGGTTAATAATGGTTAATAATGGTTAATAATGCTTAATAATGGTTAATAATGGTCAATAGTGGTTAATAATGGTTAATAATGGTTAATAACTGGTTAATAATGGTTAATAATGGTTAATAATGGTTAATATGGTTAATAATGGTTAATAACTGGTTAATAATGGTTAATAATGGTTAATAATGGTTAATAATGGTCAATAGTGGTTAATAATGGTTAATAATGGTTAATAATGGTTAATAACTGGTTAATAATGGTTAATAATGATTAATAATGGTTAATAATGGTTAATAATGGTTAATAATGGTTAATAATGGTTAATAATGGTTAATAATGGTTAATAATGGTTAATAATGGTTAATAATGGTCAAAAGTGGTTAATAATGGTTAATAATGGTTAATAACTGGTTAATAACTGGTTAATAATGGTTAATAATGATTAATAATGGTCAATAGTGGTTAATAATGGTTAATATGGTTAATAATGGTTAATAATGGTTAATAATGGTTAATAATGGTTAATATGGTTAATAATGGTTAATAATGGTTAATAATGGTTAATAACTGGTTAATAATGGTTAATAATGGTTAATAATGGTTAATAATGGTCAATAGTGGTTAATAATGGTTAATAATGGTTAATAACTGGTTAATAACTGGTTAATAATGGTTAATAATGATTAATAATGGTTAATAATGGTTAATAATGGTTAATAATGGTTAATAATGGTTAATAACTGGTTAATAACAACTGGTGGTAAAACCTAATATAAACAATCCAAATGGTAGGTTTAGGGCCGTTCATCACATTAGCGGAAAAACATGTCAAAACTGGATATGCCAGGCACGAAGATCGGGGATACCATACGCAATGTTAATTTTTGAGGGACTCTATATAGATAGCGAATGGCACGGGCATTGGCCAAAGCAATAAAGCTGAATTCAGTTATCAGCTACATCGCAACGTGACCATTCATGAACATTTCATTTCGGGTAAATGATCAGAAGGATACAATGGGTTCATATTTCAGATGTGCACTGGTGTACCAGGGTGCTTAGTAACTAATAATTAAGAGGGTTTTATCCGCGTGCGAAAAGCATATCATGGGTAGCGCACCGCTCCCCCAAAAAGGAGATTGATGTTGGGATGTTGGGTTTAGATATATTGCTGTAGATACGCCCATTTTCAAACACCAAGCATCATCTCTTGTTGGTTGCAGATCCATACAATATTCTGACACTTTATCCGCTGACATTCTGTCTGACGTATATCCTAGCATTCCGTCTGACATTTTTCTGGAATTCTTTCGGACATGTATTCTGACACTTTGACTGAAATTGAGTTTGACATACAATATATCCTGACATTTTATTTGGCATTCGCTTGTTGTAGCAGAAACTGGACCAGGGACATGGAACATATTATACACATTATATCCCCCATTAGACATATCCATACCGTTTAGCCAGAATGTATCGACACCAACCCGTCCCGTTGGTTTGACCCTTTCGTCAGCCTGTTTCAAGGCAGACTTGGCGCCTGCAGTGCCTTGTGTCGCCTCCAGCCCAGCGCAAATTTGTGCGCAACAGCTGGCGCGACAGGCCGAAGAAAGGAGGGATGGTCACGGTGTTTGCCCATGAAACACCATTCAGCACCATTAAACGCCATTTAATTTAACATCTGTTCTTTTTAGATAGTGACTCATCTGCTACAAAATGAAGCAAACATAATTATTTGAAAACCACACATTTTTTTTGGATACACGTATTTTGTCGAAAATTATCGTGTTTGGCTGGCATTTTCATCCTCCATTGAGTGAAATGTATCAGGACAGTTGAAACGACAAACTAACCAGCTGTCCATACGGCATGTGTGCCTGTGAGTTGAGGCTATCCAGTTGATGATTCAAAGTGAAGGGGAATGTTTGACACTTCAAGTCTTAAGATGCGGTGTTTCCAGGTGAAATGATTCCAAAGAAATGTGACTAATTTTCCAATCTGACAATGGAATGGTTGCATGAATGAAACTTTGGTTTCCTAGTTCTGAAAGTTTTGAAAACGCACATCCGTTAGCTTGTTGGCACAGCATTGATTTTCCCTGATGATCATTGATCGCTTAAGATATTCTTGAGATGGGTCTAGTACCAACAATTTTCTATCAACATATCCCCAACATATGCCAACACTCATCCCAAGATTCCCTGAAATATCCCAGAGTCTAGAATTGGTTGAAGGCAAAAGATGCAGGAAACCGCTATGCATGGAGCTAAAAAACCCATGATTTTTCGGTTCACATTTTCCCAACTACATTAGACCATACTTGTATGGGTTTGTCTGAAAATAAGGTACTTAACCAAATCCTCTGGTTAACCATCATTTTCCAATTCAATGACAGCAAATTCTCTGGTTAACCATAATTTTCCAATTGAATTATCCAATTGAATTACTATTGGCAAATTTGGTTAACCATCATTTTCCAATTGAATGACAACTATTGTAAGGGTGTACCCCATTTTCACACAGCCTATATGACATCCCCAGGCAGGTGTCGACTTCCGAAGCGTTGGACGGCCCAGGGTCTTCTTCTCTGGATGCGAAGTTACAGCAGTGCCAAGTGCTTCAACACGTAAACCATACCCAGAATTATGACTATTCATAGAAGATCATAGAACTGAATATGATAAATACATATAAATACTGTAGATATTTGTAAATACTATGATATTCTGAACAACTATTCTGAAATATCCCAGATTGTGTAACTGCGTTGGGATGAATTGAAGATGAAGAGACACCAATTCCAATGTTTTTTTTTCATAAAATCCCTGTGAAAATGGCACTTTTTTAAGGTATCCCCTATTTGAAGACAAAACCCACATATATATATATATATTGGATGGGTCAAAACTTACTAGTACCATATTTGGGGAATAACCATCCATTAACCAATATAGTTTTTTTTTTTGCATATCTTATCTCCAATCATATACTTGAATCATAACAGTCATATTTGGAGACAACAAGCCGACGATAACTGGATTATGATATGATGGACTGTTATAACCGGATTTTTATACTGTTTTTTTTTTTTTACCCCAAAGCAATTTTCAAATTCATCAATATAGTAATGTTTGTTATAGTATATCTACAACCATCATATTTGGGGACAACTCACCAACTATATCTTAGGGGTACCGTTTGGGCGGAAAAAAATGGACTCTTTCAACGAGGTGGACTCGTTGAAGATCGCCCGCTTGTCCGTGCTGCTGAAGAAGTACATGAAGCCCAAAGGTGGCAACGTTGCGAAATAATGGGATTTAAATGGGAGTTAAATGGGATTTAATGGGATTTAATGGAATTTAATGGGATTTTATTAACCATCAACACTATGGGTTTGATGGGGATATAATGGGATTAACCATCTGTGCTTGATGAAATCGGTATTTTTGTGGTGGGAAGACTTGCAAAATATGCGATCTGTTTTTTGGTTGTAAAGTAATGATGCCTCAGTTGGATTATGATCCCTTGTACCCTCTGGTAATTTAACATAGCTATAGAAAATCACCATCTATAATAGGTAAACCATCTATAAATGGGCCATTTTCCATAGCTATGTTAGTTTACCAGAGGGTAGTTTGTTTTCATTTTTTCTTGTGTGTTTGACACTGTCTTTGCTCATTCTTTTGCTTGTGATGTGATCCACCAGAGGTTCACTAGGAGGTTGATCATGGGCTGACTCTAACAGTTTGATTGGGATCTCCTGGTCGCCTGGCCACATTTTCTGGCTCAAAGATCGCAACAAAGCTTTGTGATTTGAAACTCTGTTTAGGAATGGGGAACCAGACACATCCTGGACGCGGAAAGATGTGCAGTGAAGGTAAGGTTTTTTTGAGGCTTTGATCTGACTCCTGCACCGGGCCTTAGCCTTAGCCAATGCCAGGACTCATAGACTTTACAATTTTCCCTATGATGTCCATGTATTCTACAGTTGGACTGTTCATTTTCAAGTAACATCCCCCCACTTCTTCTGATCATGACTGACAGATTATTGACTGTTATGGTTTAACTGCTATGGTCATGACAAGATCATCCAATTTGGATGATAATATCATGACCATAGCAGTTATCCCTCAATGAACGTCTGCCTTTGGGCCGCCTGGGCCCTTGCTGCGGCCGCAGCGACTCCGCGCCGTGCTTCGCAAACACCGTTGCTGCGCCGGGCGGCGCCGCCCGAGATTCAGGGGCCGCGGGAGTCGGCGGCCTCGAAGCGAGCGTATTTTCGCAGCTGGGATGCTAGAAACGATGAGGGTAGTCTGAACATAGGGGATGTACCACCGATTTAAGGCTGTTAAAGGAAAGGACACGTATTAAAAACG